TCTCCGATTGACTTCTTTCACTCAGCATAATACCCTCCAGTTCCATCCACGTTGAAGCAAATGGTGGGTATTTGTCGTTTCTAATGGCTGAGTAATATCCCATTGTATACATAGACCACATCTTCTTTATCCATTCATCTTTCAATGGACACTGAGGCTCCTTCCACAATTTGGCTATTGTGGACATTGCTGCTATAAACATTGGGGTGCAGGTGTTTCGGCGTTTCACTGCATCTGTATCTTTGGGGTAAATCTCCAGCAGTGCAATTGCTGGGTCCTAGGGAAGATCTATTTTTAACTCTTTGAGGAACCTCCACACAGTTTTGCAGAGTGGCTGTACCAGTTCGCATTCCCACCTACAATGCAAGAGGGTTCCCCTTTCTACACATCCTCTCCAGCATTTGTGGTTTCCTTTCTTGTTAATTTTCACCATTCTCACTGGTGTGAGGTGGTATCTCATTGTGGTTTTGATTTGTATTTCCCTGATGGCCAACAAACTAGACTTTAAAACAAAGACTAGGGATTCCTGGGTGGCTCAGTGGTTCAGAGCCTGCCTTTGGCCCATGGCATGATCCTGGAGTCCCGGGATCGAGTCCCACATCAGGCTCCCTGCATGGAGCCTGCTTCTCTCTCTGCCTCTCTCTCAGTGTCTCTCATGAATAAATAAATAGTCTTTAAAAAAAAAAAAACAAAGACTATAACAAGAGACAAAAAAGGACATTACATAATAATAAAGGGAACAATCCAACAAGAAGATGTAACAATTATAAATGCTTATATACCTAACATGGGAATACCCAAATATATAAAACAGTTAATAACAAATAAACTAATCAATAGTAACACATTAATAGTAGAGGACTTTACCACCCCACTTACATCAATGAACAGATAGACCATCTAGACAGAAAACCAACAAGGAAAGAGTGGCTTTGAACACGCTGGGCCAGATGGATTTAATAGATAATATTCAGAATATTCCATCCTAAAACAGCAGAATACATACTTTTCAAGTACACATGGAACATTCTCCAGAATTGATCACATATCATGCCCAAAACAAGCTTCAACAAATTCAAAAAGATCAAAGTCATACCATGCATCTTTTCTGACCACAACACTATGAAACTAGAAATCAACCATAAGAAAAAATCTCGAAAATCCACAAATACAAGGAGGTTAAACAACATGCTACTAAATAATGAATGGGTCAACCAAGAAATCAAAAAGTACATGGAAACAAACAAGAATGAAAACACAACAATCCAAAACCTTTGGAATGCAGCAAAAGCAGTTCTAAGAGGCAAGTTTACAGCAATACAGGCCTATGTCCTCAAGAAGCAAGAAAAATCTCAAATATACAATCTAACCTTACACCTAAAGCAGCTAAAAAAAGAACAATGAACAAAACCCAAAACCAGCAGAAAGAAGGAAATAATAAAGATTAGGGCACACATAAATGATATAGATACTAAACAACAGAACAGATCAGTGAAACCAGGAGTTGGTTCTTTGAAAAGATTAACAGATGGATCCTTTGATTGCCTCAGTTTACAGCTGTGGGCTGTTTCTGGGTACCAGCATAGGCAGGGAGCATCCAGAGACCAGTGGTCTGAGTTGAAATAAAACAGGTTGAAGTTCAGAGAGGCCAATGTTATATTTTCAGGAGAGCTCCAGCAATCTGCAGAGGTGTCTTTCTGAGTCTTTGCCTGGAATTCATCTGCGTATGTGTATTCAGAAACTACCTGAGGCTAGAGAAAGAATTGCTGGAATGAACAGGGATCTCACACTGGGCTGAAGAGAGCTCATGTTTTCTCTAGCTAGAGTGGAATGTCCTCTTAATACCCAGAGCACTGAGAAGAGTCCTCATTAGGGCATTGCCTTAGTAGTCTACCTACAATATAGGTAGACTCTGGACCCTCCCAACAAAGCTTAAAAAGCAAGACTTGAAAAGAGAAACCTGCTTCCCAGAAACTCAACTATGTTCCAGATCAAAGTCCAAAAATATTTAAAGAAAAATGATAAAACTTGTATCAAAGAACATAAAATTTATAATGTCTAGGATTCAGTAAAAAATTACCAGGCATGCAAAGATGCATAAAAATATGACCTATACACTGGGGAAAACTTAATCAAGGGTAGCCCAGGTGGCTTAGCGGTTTAGCGCGACCTTCAGTCCAGGGCATGACTCCCTGCACGGAGTCGGGCTCCCTGCATGGAGCCTGTTTCTCCCTCTGCCTGTGTCTCTGCCTCTCTCTCTCTCTCTCTCTCTCATGAGAAAATAAATAAAATCTTAAAACAAAAAAAAAAAAAAAAGAAAAAAAAAGAAACCTTAATCAATAGAAATCAACCCAGAATTACAAAAATGATAGCATAGCTGACAAGCATGTTGAAATAGCTATTATGTCATATGCTCAAAAGTAAAATATGAACATGATGAAAGAATTTAATATAAAAATATTTACATAAAACATGTAGAGATGATAAATATCTGAAATTTTATAGACACACATGGAGAAAAAGGGAGAGAGGAAGGGAGGATGGGATTAACTGCAGATTATAACTACAAAGAAAAGATCATGAACTTGAAGACAGAGCAATAGAAATTTCTAAAATGAAATATATAGAGAAAACAAAACAAAAAATGAACATCAGTAACCTTTGGGACAACATTGGGTGGTCTAACATACACGTAACTTGTAGCCCAGAAGAAGAGAGGGAGAGCAGAGGTTAAAAAAAAAATTATTTGAAGATTCAATAACTGAAAAATTTCCAAATCTGGTGTAAACTATAAACTCATAGTTCTAAGAAGCAACATGATATGCCATCAAGGCATATCATCATCAAATTGCCAAAAAATAATACAAAAGAAAAAAACCTTTATTTTTTTTATTATTTTTTAAAGATTTTATTTATTTATTCATGAGAGACACAGAGAGAGAGAGAGAGATGCAGAGACACAGGCAGAGGGGGAAGCAGGCTCCCTGCGGGGATCCCAACATGGGCCTCGATCCCGGGTCTCCAGGATCACACCCCGGACCCAAGGCGGCGCTAAACCGCTGAGCCACCCCAGCTGCCTGAAAAAAAAAACTTTAAAGTCTGAGAAGAAGATATACATAGATGGACAAAAGTAATAATAGTAGACATCTGCCTGAAACTATGTAAACTATTTAACAATGAAGCACCTTTTCAAAGTACAGATCTTCCTCAACTTATGATGGGGTTATATCCCAATAAATGCATCATAAGTTAAAATAAGTTGAAAATGCATTTAATACATCTAACCTACCAAACATCACAGTTTAGTCTAGCCTAACTTAAGCATGCTCAGAACACTTACATTAGCCTACAGTAGGGCAAAATCATCTAACAAAACCTATTCTATAACAAAGTATTGAATATCTCATATAATTTATTGAATACTGTACTACAAGAGAAAAACATAATGGTTGCAAGTGTATCAGTTGTTTATCCTCATGATGGCATGGCTGGCAGGAAGTTGCAGCTGCCTGGCATCAGGAGAGAGTAATCATAACACATATCACTAGCCAAGGAAGAAATAAAAATTCAACGTTTCTACTGAATGTGAATCATTTTCACACAATTGTAAAGTTGAAAATTCCAAGTTGAACCACTGTAAGTTAGGGACCATCTGTACCGAAAAAAAAAGAAAAAAACCTGGCAACCTACAAATCTCTCGCTCACACATTCTTTAAAAATGAAGATAAAATTAAGACTTTTTCAGACAAATGCAAGCCAAGAGTATTCACTGCTGGCAGAGCTGCATTATAAAAAAAAAAAATACTATAGCAAGTTTTTCAGTAAAAGGAATGTCATATCAGGTGGAAATTCAGCTCTACACAAAGCTATGAAGAACACCAGAAATGTGTTCCAAAAAAGATATCTTCCAATTAAAAAAAAAGTTTTAAAAGATTGACCACTGGGCAGCCCGGGTGGCTCAGCGGTTGAGCGTCTGCCTTCAGCCCAGGGCGTGATCCTGGAGACCCGGGATCGAGTCCCACGTCAGGCTCCCTGCATGGAGCCTGCTTCTCCTTCTGCCTGTGTCTCTGTCTCTCTCTCTCTCTCTCTCTCTCTCTCTGTGTGTCTCTCATGAATAAATAAATAAAATCTTTAAAAAAAAAGATTGACCATTAAAAATAAAAATAATAACAATGTATTATAGGGTTTATAGTATATGTGGAAGTAAAATGTAAAATGTATCCTTTGCATTAACAAAGGATAAGAAAGGGGAAGTTAAAATGTATTGTTATAAAGTTCTTACAATATACATGAAATTGTATAATATTAATTAGGCTGTGATACCAAAATTGAGATAAAACTGTTTTACTCTCCATAGAATTATCAGTAAATGTTCATGTACAATGTTTGCATGTCATGTTTCAGGCTTCAGTGCTTTTGCATATACTCTTCCCTATGCCAAAAATGCCTTCTCCACTTGTTTACCACGTGAATTCCTAAGTTTCCCTCTTCCTTCAAGATTCTGACTCTGTGTCTCTTCTAAAAATCCTTTATCCCTATTCACCTATTTCTATTCTCTGTTAGTCACTTAATCCTCCCTATTCGCAGAGAATCTCGTAACTACGTCTGGTAGCACACATAATTCTTTATTGTAAATTGTACTATATACGTAACATGTACTTGTTAGTTCTCAAGGGTAAGGGTCTTTCTTATTTGTCTCTAAATATCCCCAATAACTAGCACAGTACCCAGTTACATAGAAAGTACTCTTTGAAGCAGTCCTTGCAGAGTTTTATGCCAGAACTTTTTATTCCTGCTTCTGCCTTTACCAGAATACTGTAAGTCATTTCTAGAATCTTTTCTCACCTCTATTTTCATGAAGTAGAGTAAGAGAGATGAGTAACTAGGTAAACATCTGTATATGGGCAAGGATTTCTTTACTATTTTTTAAATCCTCAAGGCCATACACTAGTAATTTTAATATTAAGTTTCCTAAATTACAATGCACAAGTTAAACTTACTTCTGCCATTAACTCCAATGGGGCATGGGTATCCTTGTTAGGGTTACTGTCTTCATCATCTTCATCATTGGTATCATCTTCACCATCATCATCTGTTGATTCAGATAACTTATCATCAATATCTTGGAAGGAGTGTTCATTATTTTTCTCCTGCTCTGCAGGGACTGTGTTTTTACCCACTTGACCTAAAACGTATACAATTAAATCAATAAATATTGAAAAGTTCAAATATTAAAAATGGTTACTCCTAAATTAAAATGTAACAAGTATACATGTTTATTATATGGTTTCCTGTTCTGGAGGTTTTTTTAAATTTTTTTTTTCATGACTAATAGCACCACAATGAACTTATGTAATTTCCATTTCCAAAAAAAGTAATAAAACTGCCAAGAGGAAAAAACTCAAACCAATAACACTGAATTAATGTTAGTGTTAATTGTTTGGTGCTTAAAATTTTAATAAATAGGAAACAGTTTTGCTTAGAAAAATATAATGATTTCTAGAAAAAAAAGAAATTAATGCTATTCTCCAGAAATACATTTCCTAAGTGGTTCTTATAGGAGGGTAAATATGAAATGAAGAACTTGGGAGAGTAAAAATAAGACTAGAGAGGATTAACAGTAAATAATTCTTCTTGGGCAGGTCAGGTTACTGCTTGGATACCTGAGAATAAAGTTCTTTCTCAACACACACGCTTACTTACCCACCCACCCACCCACACACATACACAAAACTTAGGAAGAGAGACCTGTGAAGTATTCTAGATATAACCAGAGGTTACAGAACATTAGTAATGATTTTTTTCTTAATGTCAAGACACAGTAGCTATGACCAAACATAAATAACTGAAAAATCAAAATAGGCACTAATGACTATTCATTCAGTGCCCAGTAAGTACTATGTGGTGTCACAGGAACACAAAAATGAATAATTTTTGACTGCAGGTACTCATTCACACTCTAACTGGGGAGTCAGAAACATAACAGATAGCTATAAAACAGTATGGAAGTTTGGTGATAGATGTGTGCTAGTTAAATGAGAGAACAAAGGAGGGCCCCATGTTGATCTGGAGAGTGGTCAGGAATTGTCCAGTCTGAATGGATCAGTTTTTCTAAGGAGAGGGGACAGCATGAGCCAATGCAGTAACAAGAATGTGTGTCATGCAAAAAAAAGCATTTTGACACTGCTTAGAGGTCAAGGTTGAGACTGCAATGGTGACAGATGTAGCTGGAAGGGTAGGTAGATAATGGGGTCTTGGGGGCCAGAAGACTTGGAGTTAGGACTACATCCTAAGAATAAATGGGCTACAATAAAGGATTTTGAGTAGGAAAACAAATATGATCAATTCTGCATTTCTGAAGGAACACCTGGCTAGCAGGGTAGAAAGTATATTTGAGGGGAGGTTTAAAAAAAAAAAAAAAGGAGCAAGGAGAGAGGTTAGAAGTCTCTTTAAAAAAGTCCAGGTGAGAGAGATGATTAATGATAGGGCACTAGTAGAACAAGGATAGATTAGAGAAACATTTAAAAAGTAAAATCTCCATGATACAATCTATTGGGACATTTTCCAATAGTATAATTCCTACACTACCTTCATCCATTTTGCTATATAGGAGTATCACCTATACTATTTCCTCAATATTTTTCCTTGAATCTACTTTTTAAACATAGAAATTTTATCAGATAATATTACCATCTATGAGACTGATAAATGAATAAAAGTAACATACAATAATCCTAACAAACATTATATACCATTATTCTTCTGAACATTACATATATTAACTATTTAGTTCTCTTAACAGGTCAATGAGATGTATACTACTGTTCATAGATGAAACTGAAGGAGAAGTTAAATCATGTACCCAATTTCATAGCACTAATTAATTGGCAGATCTGGGAGTCAGTTTGGCTCAAGTTCATATTCATAACCATTTTCTACTTTTATCTGACACATATTGAAATATAGTACCATTAAATCTATTTTTTAATCTATTTTAAAAAATTTATTGTGTGTCTCCTAAAATTATCCCTTTGGGAAATATAAGTGAGTGAACTTGTCAACTGCTCAGGCTCTACTGATGTCTTTCCCAGTTTCAAAACTGAATTTATGTGATACCTCGCTTTCTTATTAGATTTTGAATGTCTGGAAGTCTTGTGACATGCCTTTCTTGATGGGAGTTTGGCCATTAGCTACTCCAAATCATGTAGAAACACTTGTTAGAAAGAAAACCAGGAAATCCAGGAGAGCTCAAGAGAGGACAACGTTAAGAAAACACAAGCCAAAAAAAGAAAAAGCTGATAAAACTCCTGACTCTAATTCAAGCTCCCGACTAAACAAAAAAAACTACTACTCTGGAAGGAGATACTGGTCCTTCATAGAATGGCTAGGGTCTTCAGGCCATCTACCTGCTTCTGTTTTATTTACAGTTTCCATCAGCTCACAGTCACCCTGATCTTCCAGTGGGTACCCAGCTTGCTCACAGACTCATCACACTGATGTCATTAGGGGAAAGTCATAATAGGGAATTAAGGACTTCATGTGATGTCACAGGAACTCTCTCCTTGAATTTACAAACAGTGAACATCAAGAGAAATGTCCTGATCCCAAGAGCTAAGATAGTCCTCCTCTAGGTGCCATTTATCTATATTACAGCACTCACCACAGTGTGTTATTGTCTTAATTTTTATAGTTGACTATCTCCCACTAAAAAAGTGAACTTCATAAAGGCAAAATAACCTTGTCTACTTGTTAACTATTGTATCCACAGCTTCTAAAAAGTCCTGGCACTTAATAGACCACTGTCTAATGAATGGAACTTAATGCTTTCATATTTTGATTCATTTTAAAATTTAATACATTATTATCACTTTATATAATGTATACCATGGATGCCATACCTGACTGCATATCAGAATCATCTGGTACATGAATTTCAAAAATTAGTTTCCTACAACCCACTCCGGACCTACAGAGTTGTCAACATCCCAAAGATCATTGGAGGAGGTTCAATTAGAAGCTACATTTACTCACATAAAACAAATGTTATTACCCGTGCTTTCTTTTAAGAAGGACGATGACCATTGCTTAGATTGTAGGTTCATTTCTGTATCTTTATTTTCAATATTTGAAGATATTCTATCTTCAGTATTCTTAGAAGTAGTAGGTTTTTCAACAATTCTTGAAGAGATTTCCTTCCTAAATGTTAAAGTAAATAATGAAAAAATACTTTCCTAGGTATTCACGGTTCTGTTTAAAGCTTCATATGCATTCAAACCCATATGTGCACACATGCACACACACACACACACACACAATAAAAACAAAATATATCAACAACTAGCTAAAATATATCTTCTTTGTGGAAAAGCATTAAAAATAATTTTTATTGATGATTAAAATTCTATTTCTACTTGGTATTTATCATTGTGTAATGATCCTTAAAATCTTTTCAGGGTTCTTTAACATAGAACATATAAACAATCAATTATATGAATGTCTTTGGCACATCATTGTAATACGTTGGAATAAAACTAGGAATACTAGCCTTGAGGGTTTTTTTTTAGGTTTAGGAACCAGTTCTTACCATTGCTAAATGCTACACTTATGGAGAGAGTCCAACAGTCATATTAACCCTTGGTCATAACAAAATAGCCTGTTTTTTCATTAAGTAGCTGAAATAAATATGGGTTAATTTTCTCTTTTAGCCTTTAAGCCTGAAACTTCATACCAGTAATAATGCATTAAGACAGAGGATTCTTGTGTGGTGCACTCTGTTTACAAAGAGAGGTAAGTACTCATGCTGGTGGAAAAATAACTCTGTCTCTTTTCTGTGGTCTTAAGATTTTTTTAATATGCCTCCTTTACCAAATTAAAAAAAATTCTACTTTACATGTCAAGATATAAAAAGGTGTGAAGTATTTTTTTTTAGGTGTGAAGTATTTTTTCCCAGTTATGGTGGCTCTTTTTCCCATTGAAATATGAATCCAGAACATGAGTATAGTTAAGTCAGTGACCTTGTACAGTGATTTAGCAAACAGGCGGAACAGCTTGTTATAGTCCTAATATTATGAGAGGGAATGGAATCTTCACTTGCTTAATATATGCTGCTAAAGCAAAACTCCTCTCTAGTAATGAAAAAATGCAAAATTGATTTACATTTGTTCTGCCTCTGCCCTCCTTGATTTTCTAATTGTGAAAAAAAAAAAATCCAAGATGAAACTCTACATCTAAGAAGTTGAGAAGTCAGATAAGTTTTTAGTTTCAAGTGAGATTCCTGTTCTGCCAAAGCTTGCCACAAGTGATTATTAGAATTTATATGCTCTAATATTTAATCTAAATCTGGTCACTTTCTATAGTCTTTCTCATATATAGTTTCAAAGAATCACAGGTCCAAAGTCCAACCTCCTCTTCAACAATAATCTTTTGACTTCCATTTGAGAAAGTGACATTATTTATGGTAATAATACCTCTGACCATTTAAGAAAAATAGTGTACTCTAAAAAATTTGTTTTAATTCAAATAGTTACAGTTGAGGAAAGATTCAAATTTTTACTTTAGGTAATATCCTTTGGAAATGGAAATCAGCTTCTTCTTACAGAGTCTGTCAAGGTAGATATCCTACTGAAACATATTTATGCCAGAGCATAAATAACCTAGATTTTTAGGACCGTTCCTTAGTATATTAAGAGCTTTAGGTATATTTATGAAATGGCCTCAAATTTCTATTGGAATTAATAATTTTTACAGTAAGTTTAGATTTTAAACTTTGTTTTAAAAATTATTTAAACTTGTCAAACATGGGCTTAAAAATCAAAATTGATTGAAACTTACTTTTCTGAGAATGTCCTAGATACATTTAGAGAGACTTGTGTTGGTAAGGAACAAAGTTTACTTGCCAATCTTGGTCTGCATCCAAAGAGGCATTTACTTAAAGTATAAAAATGGAAATGGAAAAAAAAAAAAAACCTTGTCACTTTAGAAGAGATAAAACATATGATTATGGAAAACCCATAGACACAATTTTTTCAGTTGAATGCTGTGGACTTACTTCAGCCATTTCCCCCCAACATCTTCAAGTATGCTTGAAAGCTTGGCCCAAAACCCAAGAGATCAAAGGTCCAAGATCTATCAAATTTCATCTAGCACTAATGATATATTTTACTTCTATTGCTGAAAATTGTTAATTAAGTGCAACTTGTTGGGTAGACAAAATCTTTCACACAGGAGATCCATGGGGAAAAGAGGAAATAATAAATGTGGGCTTTACAAGCACAAATATTTGAAACTCCTAGTTTATAAGTCCATATACTCCTTATGTGCCTCAGACTAGAATAAAGAAGCAGAGAAGATTAAGGCAAATCCACTCCCCCTGCTTCACTTGACAGGAAACACAGGGAGGACAGAGGAGGAGGTATTGCCAGTAGTGGGTATAGAGAGTGGAATGAAAAACTATACTGAAAAAATTCATCAACTTTCCAGGTCACAGGGCTCCTTAAGCACAGGTCCTCCATGATTTTCTACTTTCCTACTTGATCATTTTTTTCCAGGATTGGCCCTGTGTACCTTGAACTCTGGGTAAAGTACTTAGATTGAAGCCACATACCTGTGAGACTAATGGGCTACACTAACCATTCCTCCTCCTCCCTCACTCCAAACAACCAAACCAAACCAAACCCAAACTCTTCTCTACAAGTGAACTGAAGGGAAACTGATCTTTTTGTCCTTGCAAAAATTAGTTTGAGAAGAAGATGCAATTATTAATGAGACCAAGAGAACAAATTATCACTCTGCTTTCCTATTTTGGCCCAGGCTGCATTTGATTTAACCTTGGGGTTTAACTCAGGATGTAGATTACCCCTTCCTTCAGTTCCAACACTGCTTATCACAATCTATGAACATCGATGTTCACAGACACAATAGTAATTTATTTCCATTAATGACTTATTATTTTTTTAAAGATTTATTTAATTATTATTTATGATAGACACACAGAGAGAGAGAGGGAGAGAGAGGCAAAGACACAGGAGGAGGGAGAAGCAGGCTCCATGCCGGGAGCCCGATATGGGACTCGATCCCGGGACTCCAGGATCACGCCCTGGGCCAAAGGCAGGCACCAAACCGCGGAGCCACCCAGGGATCCCCTAATGACTTATTATTATTATTATTGAAAGTAACATCATACTTCCTTCAAAGACAACTAAAATTTTCTTACATTTTTAAAATTTAAATGTTTTGGGGATCCCTGGGTGGCACAGTGGTTTGGCGCCTGCCTTTGGCCCAGGGCGTGATCCTGGAGACCCGGGATCGAGTCCCACATCGGGCTCCCGGTGCATGGAGCCTGCTTCTCTCTCTGCCTATGTCTCTGTCTTTCTCTCTCTCTCTGTGACTATCATAAATAAATAAAAATTTAAAAATTAAAAAAAAATAAAATAAAATTTAAATGTTTCAACCATGTAATTGGATATACATATTTACAGATTAATATATTTAATGGGGCATTTGTTTTTTCTGATTATCTAGAACAATTAACCTGAAATAAACAGATTTCTTGTCTTTGATCAGTTACACATTCTCTTTAATATAAAAATATGTATTTAATATATAATTTACAACAAAAGGCAAGTTAATTTTATTTTTTAGTTTTTTTTTTTTTAAGATTTTATTTTATCTACTCATGAGAGACACAAAGAGAGAGGCAGAGACATACGCAGAGGGAGAAGCAGGCTCCTCGCAGGGAGCCCGATGCAGGACTGGATCTCAGGACCCTGGGAGCATGCCCTGAGCCGAAGGCAGAGGCTCAACCGTTGAGCCACTCAGGCATCCCACAAATCTGTACCTTTAATGTGTTGGCTTGATTGTTCTCTCAGTTTCATTAACTCCAGGTATAATTCATTATTTTCCTTGATCAGTCTTGCATTTTCAAGTTTATAAGGTCCCAAAACAAAATCAAAATTGGCACTTTTTCAGCTTTCACAGTAGATAATTTTGATTTCTGAAGAGTTTGTTGTATGAACTAGGTCACTGAAAAGTTTTTCTACCAATGGTAAACACTCCACTGTCAGAGTCTGGCGGTATCCCAACTGATCCAATCTTTTTCTAATATTAATATATTTTATTTCTGCAGCTGTAGTCATCTTGTCTTCCAAAACTAGTTCTATTCACTCCCTGAAATTAAAGTCCCACAGCTCCCGCCACTGCTCTTTCCGCCTGTGGCCACATCACCCCTCAGACCTCACCTCCGCCCTGGCTGGTCTAATTTTTAGTTTTGACAGTATGAAAATTCAAAAATAAATTGCATACGGTAAAAAATTTCCAAGCCAATTTTATCCAGAATAAACCAAAATAATATGTTTGGCACCATTCTACCAATCTATCAATATTCATCTCTATGAATGTGTTTTATGATAAATTCTCAAAGCATAATTTTTCATGGAATTAATTTTTTTTTCCTCAGGAGGTAGGAGATGATAATATTAGGAAAGGTTTTTTTTAAAAAAAAAAAGGAAAGGTTTTGATGAATTATCAGAATCAGAGCCTTGAATAAATCAAGTACTTAATATTTAGCAACCATACTAAAACTGGACCATGATTCTTTTTAACACTAATCCCCTTCAACTAATTGGGGTGATTAGTTTCCTTTACTTAGTAGTAATGATTCATTTCATAGTAAATAAAGAACCTTTAATTTTCAAGTAAATATTCGTTTAAAGGGATATTCTGAAAGAAACAAGAAGTATCAAAAGGAAATAGGAATGAGCAATGAAAGTTATATAAGTAAAATACAGACTACTTGGTATTTAAGCATTTAAAAAGTAGAAGTGGCTATTATCTATACCTTTACATTTTTATCAAAATTCATTTTTCATTTTAAATGTTCTTTTATCTAAGTAACAATTGCTTTGATTGAAGCAAAAGCTAAAGTGCTAATCCATGCGTTTCTGGCCTTTCAAATTTAATTGGGTGACAAATGATTGCATTATGTAGTTCTAATTGCTTAAGAGGCATGTGATAGATCAGCTGCACAACCAGAGACATCTTCTTACTCTGACATTGCTTCATTTGGTTCAACCATCACTTTTTCTGAAAGAGAAGAAAAAAACCCAACTCAGTATTTTATCTGTAGTGATGTTGTTAACAGAAATTTCTGATCAGCAAATACACTTAAGCATTTTTTGAATGACAAGTAATATAATAAAGGATTTAACTGCTAAGACCTCACATTCAGTCACTCCAGTAGACTATCTTCTTAATATTTAGGACAAAATGATGATGAAACATTCCTTTTAAGTAATGAATCATTTACCCTTTGGGTCAAACACTAGCAATCTGCATTTGGTACCTAAAATAAAAGCAAAAATAAAAACTCTATTTTGGTACCTAAAATAAAAGCAAAAATAAAAACTAGCATTATCATTATTATTTTAGTTTGAGGTATTTGAAATAATTTATGCATAGCCTTTATATAAACATTTCTATTATTTAGGCTGAAATGGTAATTTTATACTAAAGCCAATTATTTGAAAACTATGTAAATTGATGGTAAAAGAGATCTAAAGCATCCTAAAAATAGTTTACACAGTCTTATCTTTACAATATGTCTTGTCTAGATAATTCTTGCAAAAAACAAAATATTAACTTCCTAAGTCTTTAAATACTGTATAAATTTAGACTATAAATAAAATAATGCAGAATTCTGTCAGAAGGATATCAAATATTTTGGTTTTTTTATTTAGTAGCGTCGCTTCCATCCTAACTGAAAAATCTTCTTCTTTTGGATTATGAGATTGTTTTTAAAAAGGTCTAGAGAAATTAACCCTTCCTCTTCTTCCCATTTTTACCTTGGAGCTTATGTAAAAAGAGCTATAGGAATAATTTTGCATGTTAGAAAAGTGATATATTAAGTTAGCCTCTAATTCTCTGTTTCTGTGTGGTTTTACATAACTTGGACTCTAGATTCAGATCCAAATACAATCAACAGTAGGTTCAGGACTCCCCTTTCTAACTGAGCTGACCCTAGAAATCATAAATTCAGCTTGGCTCATGTATACAGCACCACTTTTCTTCCCTACTTTAACAAAATAAAACGATATAAACAAAACTATCTGCCACATTCCAGTTCATCAGTGTGAAAAACAGTGTACTTGAGCCTGAACAAGAAATTTTTCCATGGTATTTCAAGATAAGAGTATTTTAAATAAAATGTCATTCCAATAAATACATTTAGAAATTAACCTTTGATTTTCTTCAAAAATAACATTTTAAAATACAATTCTTACAAGTTCCCCTATGTACTTATTAATACTTTCAAATTATAATGTTTTCTTTGTGAATGTTTACCTTTCTTACTTAGATTACCCTATATAGATTTTCTGATAACTTAGCCCTTTATATATTTGGGTAAATTTAATTGTAAAGAGAAAAATCAACTTTTAAGGGTTTTTAAGTATGATAGAGACTACAATTACATTTTTCATAAATAACAATTCACTTGCCCTCTCCTCCCTCAACACTTGCTGTCTCCACATCCCAAACAAGACTTTAAAAATTAGTAGTAGTACATACTAGGGATTTCTGGAATACTAAATTGAGGGCCAGAACTGTGGACAATAAAAGAGAAGCTTCTATTTTGTATTAAGTTTTTCTCTTTTTAAATCTCCCTTGTACTGATTTGCACTCTGGAATAAAGCACTTGGTATGTAAACATTTGCCTCAGGCTTTGTTTTCTGGGGAATCCTCATCAAACCAGATATTACATATGTTATTAACCTGATTATCCCTCTGAGAAATTCAGAGAGAGCTAAAAGTCCATCAAAAAAGCAAGGCATCTTTTTTGGGAAAATCAGTTACAGAAGGCCAGGAGTGCCTGGGTGGCTCAGTTGGTTAAGCATCTGTCTCTTGATTTCAGGTCAGGACCTCAGGGTCAGGACCTCAGGGTCCGGAGATGGAGCCTAGTAGCATCCTCTGGGCACTCAGAACGGAGTCTATTTGAGATTCTCTCTCCCTCTCCTCTGCTCTCCCCAATCCCCACCCACCCCACCCCTGCCATGAGCACTCTTTCCCTCTAAATAAATAAATATAAATAAAATCTTAAAAACAACAGTTTCAGAAGACCAAACTCTAGGATAAATGCCGTACTTCTCTAGGCAGTAGAGTGCAAAAGTGGAAACAATGCAATAATGAACCAAATAGGGCTCTAACAAAAGAAATCCAAGATGACCTGTCCTGAGAGGTACTTTTCACAGATTTCCACAATCCTGTGGATACCCATATGTCTGAGGAGATATCCCCTTTATATGTATATTCTCCCTTTTCTAGCTCTAGGATCTTTACGAATTGCTACATTCTACCCTTTACCTGGATGAAACATCAGTACATAAAATTCTCCCATTTTCTTCTGGCAAAAGAAAAACCTAGAATGGGCAGATCCCAGCCTTTGATGGAAACACAGGCTCTGCTAGGTCTGGATTTATCACTACCTAGAAAATGTCCATTTAATATCCTTTCATAAAATTGAATTCTGTGGGGCAGGGGCAGTACAGAGTTATACTCAAGAGTCAGGGCTCTTTAGTGAAAGAGACTGGATTCATGTGGCTCAGTCCTACCACTTCCCATGTAAGCTTCAGTAGGTCACTTAACTTCTTCCAAGTTTGCTATATTCCCCTAGGTATGATTTCCACAAGTACCCCTAGAATATGATATCATTCTACCTGCTATGAGAAGCAAGAGTCAAGCTTCACAATGACGGTGACATTCATTTAGCCAGGTAGGCACTCAACAGATGGGGACAAACAGTCTAGCAAGGTCTTAGAAAATGGATAGAGTTGGATATATATAATGGAAGCAAACTTGTTAAGTCATAATTATCATGTGCAAAGGATCTGGGGTTTCAACCAGTAGTCAAAGGAAAGCAAACCAAGGCTCTGAAGAACAATCACATGATTAGTTCTATCTTAGAAAAGAAATTCTGAAAAAAAAAAAGAAAAGAAAAGAAAAAGAAAAAAAGAAAAGAAATTCTGTGGAGGGTAAACCTGAGAGAAAAGGGAAGGTAGGGAAACCAGTTACAAAGCCACTGCAATAATCCAGAGCAAGGGCTGCCAAACTATAGCCATGAGTCAAATGAGTCAAATATGACTCATTGCCTACTTTTATAAATGAAGTTTTATTGAAATACAGACATGCTTGTTTGTTTGTACATTGTCAATGGCAGCTTTCAGGCTACAACGACATTGTTGAATGGTTTCAACAAAGACTGTATGGCCTACAAAGCCTAAAATACATATTATCTGGCCCTTTATAGAAAAAATTTGCCAAACCCTAGTCCAGGGAAAAAAGATGATGTACAAAGCCAGGAAGGTACCCTTGGGAAGGTACCCAAAAGAGAGGTAAAACTAAGGCTTAGCAGACATAGAAGTGAGGGAGAAGAAAAGAGTTAATGGTTCTAATGTGGATAACTAGGATGAATGGACCAGTGAAGGAACATTCTTGGGGGGTGGATAATGAATTTGTTTGGGGGAAATTCTGAGTTATAGATGTCTGTACATCATCTGAAGTCAAGTGCTCTTCAATTCTATTAAAGAGAGTTACAACTCAAGAGAAAAGATGATATGTGGGATAGCTGGGAACAAGTGGGAATGGATGGCATGGCCCACGTAGAATAAGACAAGGCCAAAGATAAAATCCTGGGAAATACCAACATTTAAGAAGTGGAGTAAAAGAATTAGTCAAGGAAATGCCCAAAAGCAATATGTAGACAGATAACTACAGAATGGTGGAATGATTACATTACCAGGATAGAAGTTTCTGGAGAGCACAAACTGGTTCTTTCATGAGTGTGGGTCCCATTCCATTTTAAAGGCACCCAGATATTGAGTGAATGAATAAAACCATTGGAGGGATCCCTGGGTGGCGCAGCGGTTTGGCGCCTGCCTTTGGCCCAGGGCGCGATCCTGGAGACCTGGGATCGAATCCCACGTCAGGCTCCCGGTGCATGGAGCCTGCTTCTCCCTCTGCCTGTGTCTCTGCCTCTCTCTCTCTCTCTCTCTCTGTGACTATCATAAATAAAAAAATTAAAAAAAAAATAAATAAAACCATTGGAATGATATAAGTAACTTACCTGGCTTAGAATGCTCTTATAATTAAAAAGAAAGGCCCAAAGAATTAGGAGGGATGATTCTGAGAAGAGTTTGGGGGAAAGCAGATATAGATTTATTTTTATTAAGAAAAAAATACTGAATGACTGATATAGAAAGATAGATAGTATTAATTGGAAGATAAATGTATCCCATTAAATAAATATATAAAATTTACATGACAAAGTGATTTATATAGGCATAATTATGTGATCATATGTTTGAAAATATTCTATTTTGCAAATTAAAATGTACTTTGAGGGTCAGGGTGGGGGTCATTACGGGTTCATTTCTAACAGAAAGGGCTTCGTTCTTCGTTTCTTAGCTATATTAGTAAGGCTAACAGATATTAATTCTTAGTTTAAGTTACAGAAACTATACTCAAGTTAACTTAGGCAAAAGAAGAAGTGTTGGCTCATAGAATCCGAGTGTTAAATACCCAACTGTGTCAGAACACTAGATACAGCTGTGTTCAAGGGGCATGGGGGCTTCCCTTGTTCATTTTGGCTTCTCCCTGCAGGTGGGCCTCATTCTTCCCTCTCATTGCAGAAAGATTTTTCCACATGTGGTACAAAACAGGAGTTTTATGTGATATAGTTGTAGGCTTTTGGAAAAATTGACTCTCTCAACAAAAACCTCAGTCAAAGGCCCAATTAGTTCAGCTAAGGTTTTTTTGGGTACAAAGCTCAGAAAAATTCAAGTACCACATACACTGGTGCTCGATAAATAGTTGTTAGATAGGAAGGAAGAAAGCAAAAGAAAGTGTTTATGGGGGGCAGCCCGGGTGGCTCAGCGGTTTAACACCACCTTCAGCCCAGGGTGTGATCCTGGAGACCCCGGATCAAGTCCCACCTTGTGGTCCCTGCATGGAGCCTGCTTCTCCCTCTGCCTCTCTCTGTGTGTGTCTCTCATGAATAAATAAGTACAATCTTTAAAAAAAAAAAGAAATTTTTTAATGTTTTATTTTAAGATTTTTATTTATCTATTCATGAGAGAGAAAGACAGAGAGAGAGAGAGAGAGAGAGGCAGAGACACAGGCAGAGGGAGAAGCAGGCTCTATGCAGGGAGCCCGACGTGGGACTTGATTCTGGGTCTCCAGGATCAGGCCCTGGGCTGAAGGTGGCACTAAACCACTAAGCCACCCCGGCTGCCCCAAAAGAAAGTATTAAACTAGATCTTTGCTAGCCAATATGGTAGCCACTAGACACATGTAGCTGTTGAACACCTGAAATGTGACTGGTTCCATTTAAGACACGCACACCAGATTATAAGGACTTAGTACTAAAAAAAGAACATAAAACATCCATTCCCTTATTCTTCTAGGTAAATAGTCACTAACCAGCCAATAGGGCCAGATAGTTTTTATTTGGATTCTATAGGTCTTAAAAAACCTTCCATAAAATGAGTTACCAGCATTCAAAATTCAGATTTCACAAAATTCTCATTTTGGGTTTCTCTTGTAATATTGGAAGATGTATACATTTTCCACCACCCCATCTGTGCAATTATTTTATCCTTTCGGGCTGTTTGTCTTTATAAGCCACCTAGTATTTTAATAGGCAAAGAAGGAATTAGTTACATGCTCAGGCCCTGCAACGGTGATGAGAAGACAGAGCTAATTAATCACCATCCTCCATCCCAGGGGAGCCTGGTGTGGGCACAAGAGGATTTGGGGGCAATCTTCATTGCATAGTCTCAAATGTGTATAAAAATGGTTTCAATGGTCATCTATCATTTACATTCATATTTTAAAAAGACCACATATAGGGGTGCCTGGGTAGCTCAGATGGTTAGGTGACTGCCTTCAGCTCAGGTGGTGATCTCCAAGTCCTGGGATAGAGCCCTGTGCTGGGCTCCCAGCTCAGCGGGGGAGTCTGCTGCTCCCTCTGCCTCTCCCCCTGCCTGTGCTTGCTTTCTCTCTCTCTCTCTCTCTCTCTCTCTCTTCTCTCTCTCTCTCTCACGAATAAAATATCTTTTTAAAAAAGTGACTACATACAAATTTTATATATTTCCTTACAGCATAATGTCGAGCTAGGAGCCCAGACTGCTGAATCAGATTGTCTATGTTCAAATCTCAGCAAATTGTTAGTGAATTCAAGCCAGGTCCTTAACCTCTGATTCAATTTCCTCAACTATAAAATGAGGATAAAAATACGACCTACCTCATAGAGTTATTGTGAAGATTAATATAAATAGCCAATAATAAATAATAGCACCTATCTCCTACTACAATTATAATTGCTACAACTATTACCTATTATTACCTACCACCAAGCAAGAACACTGCTGAAGGTGAACTCTAAGAAAAGCCAGTTCTGAGTGCACACCTGAGATTGAATGGAGCCATGAAGGGGAGTGGGGGGGGGGGGACACTGAACATTTAGCTCAAATGGTGGTGGTGAGAGGTGGTCACAGGAAGCTCTAGAATTCTGGAGTAGTGCAATGGGATCCCTAAAGGTATTGGAATTCACCTCTGGAAAAAATCTTAACTTTGTTTTCCTGAGATTAAAAATAAATAAATAAGGTGGATTTGGGGATCACTGCATTTGGTTTTTAGGAGAATGAAACAAAAGACATTTTCAATGTCTTTTTCAGATTTATTTTTAAAAAGCCACATCCAGCGGATCCCTGGGTGGCTCAGCAGTTAAGCGCCTGCCTTCTGCCCAGGGCGTGATCCCGGAGTCCCGGGATTGAATCCCACACTGCATGAAGCCTGCTTCTTCCTCCTTCTCTCTGTGTGTCTCTCATGAATAAATAAATAAAATCTTAAAAAAAAAAAAGCCACACCCAGGGGTCTCTTGGGGTCCATTAGGTCCAATTCACCTAATGCCCTCTGGAAAATCAAATGATAAATTTATAATCATGCCCTGTGTTAATTTAAGTGCCACAGCTGCGCAGTGCAGAGTAGTTTGAGTAATCAAAGGCCATATATCTTGATTTTGGAAATCTCAAGTCAATTTTGTCACCTCACACAAGGCTGAAGACTGGACCTTAGAAGTGATCCACTGTTGGCCCCTCGTTTTACGTAAGATGAAAAGGAGGCCAGGGGAGGCTCAATGATTTGTCCCAATTCCACAAGAATTCTTTATGGCCAAGTTATGTCTAGCAAGTAATGACAATATTAAGTACAGTCAGTGAACGCTGGCTCCTACTGGTCATTAAGCTGTTTCCCAAAAAAGAAAAAAAAACAGATAAAAGAAAAAAAAGTTTGCGTGTGTGTGTGTGTGTGTGTGTGTGTGTGTGTGTGTTAAAGGAGGTAGGTGTAGGGGGCAGGGATGGAGAGAAGTAGCTGGAAGCTCTGAGATGCAACAAAGCTAATTTCACTGTTTTGGTGGGGGGGAGCGTGAGGCACTTGGCGCAGGCGAAAGGGCAAGTCAGAGAATGTGGTGTAGACCGGCTGTCAACTGCCCAGCCGGGGCGCCCGGGCGGCTCAGTGGCTGAGCGTCTGCCTTCCGCTCAGGTCGTGATCCCGGGGTCACGGGATCGAGTCCCACATCGGGCTCCCCGCAGGGAGCCTGCTTCTCCCTCTGCCTGGGTCTCTCAAGAATAAACAAAATCTTAAAAAAAACGACACACCCCAGAACTGCTCAGTTATCACTCACCCCCGCGTAGACACAGACGCTACATCCCCTCCCGAGGGCCCGCCCACAGCCAGAGGAGGCAGCCACGCTGGAGGCGCACCCCCGCCGCGCGGGTCCTACCTTTCCGCGCGCCGCTCGGGCAGCCGCGGAGCTCCGGGGCCCGGACCGGTGTGCGAGTTCACGGGTCTGCACGCGAGGGTGGGGAGAGGCGACCCGCAGCCGCCGCGGGGCCTCTCACACCGCTGGTCCGCAGGGCTCACACTCGCGCGGGGTTCCGGGCGGGGCGCCCCGGACGCAGCGTCGCCACGGAGACGGGTCGGCGGGCGGCCGGCGGGAGCCGGGGCAGCAGCGGGAGGCCGAGGCGGAGCGCGCAGGGCGGAGGCGGGGCGAGCTCCGAGTGCCGCTGAGGGGCGGGGAGGAGGCGGGATGCGCCGGGGTAGCTGGGCGGGCGCCGGGCGCGGGGAAGCGGCGGCGCGGAGCCTCCCGCGGGCGGTGAGGAAAGCCTGAGGAGGCGGGGCAAGTTCCGGGCCCGGCGGAGGGGGCGGGGCCGGAGCAGGCCCGGGGAGCCACGGCGGGGGCGGGGGCGGAGCGGCCGGGAGCTCGGGGGCGGGCGGGCGGTGGCGGGTGGGGCGTGGCAGCCGCGAGCCCGGGGGGCGGGGCGAGAGGCCCGGGCTCGGGGGCGCCCGGCAGTTCCGTGGCGCCGCACGTCGGGGGCGCGCGCGCCCGTTCCTCGGCGAAGGGAAGGAAGGAGGGCGCCCGGGACGCCGTCGTCCGTTCCGGATCCTGTTCTGGGGGGCACCGGGGACAGGGCGGGGTGGCCTCGCTCCTGTTTTAAACTTGTGGAGTGAAAGGAGTCTCGAGTTGGGAGACAGAAGCTTATCTCTGGATGCGGATAAACAAACGTCGCCTGCGGCACTTGATCCCCGACTTGAGGTCGCCCCGAGAAAATTACGGATTTCCCGAATCGAGTTTCTATCCAACTCCTGGGATATGAAACGGACCTCGGCCAGTGGGAGGTTTTGGTCACAAAAGGGGGTGAGGGAACTTCTCTTAGAAAATTCTAATTGTACCGCAAGCTTGGCTTCCAGGAAGGAATTTGTTGCTTTTCTCCGCTTGGGATCAGGAAGTGTCCGATGGGCTTGTTGCTAGGCAACAGGTTCTGAAGGATGCCCGTTTGTGGGAATCCAATCTGGAATCGAATTTCACTAAGTAGCCACATGATATGAGGTATAATCGCTGTATAACCTCTAGGGTTAGGTACCTTCTTGGGAATATGTACTTTGGTAGATGATTGTTTGCTTCAAACGACAAAATATAAAACAAAACATCTGGCGTTTAAAAGATGTTTCAGGGCAGCCCGGGTGGCTCAGCGGGTTAGCGCCGCCTTCAGCCCAGGGCGTGACCCTGGAGACCTGGGATCGAGCCCCACGTCGGGCTCCGGGGGTGGAGCCTGTTTCTCCCTCTTCCTGTGTCTCTCATGAATAAATAAATATAATCTTTGAAAAAAATTTAAAAAAACAAAAAGTGCTTCAGAAATGGTAGGTTTTTATCATCCTCATCAAAATAGAACCACTAGGACCATTTCAGGAACCAAGGGTACATAGAAATTCAGTTATATTTATCTTAATCATCTGTCCAGGTTCACTCATTCTCCTTGGATTCCTGGATGGAGGGAAGGAGACAAAAAAAAAAAAAAAGCCAGAATGGAAGTTTTTTTTAAAGAACTCAATGAGTTATTGACAAATACCCAGTTTGATAAAGACAGAAAATCACTATCCTCACTATTAGAGGAGCGCCGTTACATAGCTGATGTTTTAAGTTTGAAGACTTTTCATTCAATCAAGACAAAGGGAAATTCATTATATTTTTCTATCAATACCTTTAAAAATTAGTTTTGATGAATTGCTTAGTATTGATAGATGAGGGGATCCGTGGGGGGCTCATCGGTTTAGCGCCACCTTGGGCCCAGGGCGTGATTCTGGAAACCTGGGATCAAGTCCCATAACAGGCTCCCTGCATGGAGCCTGCTTCTCCCTCTGTATCTCAGCCTCTCTCTCTCTGTGTGTCTCTCATGAATAAATAAATTAAATATTAAAAAAATAAAATAAAAATAATAAGATAGATGAAAATGTCTGTAAATATTTTCTCCCCACGGAGGATGAGTTAGACAGATCTGGCTTCCATCTTGGGCCTCAGGGTCTTCATTTTCAAAATGGGAATAATAACCCTACTTGCCCTGGTAGCTTAGAATATGAAATGAGAGAAAATAAGCCTCTGATAGAGTATGGCACATGACAATTGATTAATAAATCTTAGCTATTTTTCTTCTACTGTGGTGGTATGAATAAAAGTACCTATTTCCAGGATAGCTGTAAGGATTAAAGGTCATTCAAGTAAAGCGTCTATTTGAACCCATGATGGTTATTTTATTTCTCTCTGATGAAAAATATCACATCTCATCCTTGCAAAACTTCAGAAATAATTCACCTCCCTCTATAACCTTTGTGTAGATGTTATCATTGGTGTAATACTCAAAAGTAGAGCATAGTTTAGTTCTGGCTCCTGCATTCAGGCCACTGAATAAATTATCCAAAGGATCTGTGCAGTGAGGATTTGTTCTAATAAAGTGAAGGGACAAAGTCAAACACCCATACAAATACTGAACCATCCCATAACAACTATCTCTTATTATACTCCATGTTTTTAATTTTTTTTACACTCCATGTAAATCTCTCCATCTCTTTTTAATAGATACATTTTTATTACAGATCAGAATGTTAGCAGAACATCATAAAAATGTTTGACATTTGTTTTTCTGATTACAAAAGTAATACATGTTCATGATTGAAAATTTGCAACATACAGAGAGGCACAAAGAAAAAAACAAAAACCACTTCAATCATTTCTTCTCTCCTTCTAGCCTTTTTGTGTGCATATATTTATAAAGTTTGTATTAATGTACATATTGTTAGCATCTCTCTTTGCTTAACATTCTTTTCAAGCAAGTCTTAACATTTCCCTGATGACTTTAAAGAGTCTTCAAAACATTTTTAATGGCCATATAATGTTATATAATATGTATAAGCCACAATTCATAATTTATTCAATCAGTTCCCCAATGCAGAAATTTCCAACTTTTCTCCTGTAATTCTTTCTTTCAAGAACATTTATTGAGTGCTTGCTATATTTTAGGCACTATGCTAGGCATAAAAAGTAAAGTAGTGGACAGTGACTACAAAAATAAGGTTTTGATGAACATCTTTGTAATAAATCTTTGATAGCATCTTTCATTCTTCGACTAAATTCCTAGGACGATGAAAACAGAACTTCAAAAAGCATTTTCCCAACTTCAAAGGCAGACTTAAGAAATAAAATTCTGAACTGTAAAATATTAACTTTTTGGAAAATTACCAACAACTGAATTAATATTTATTTTGTGCCAAGTGTGAACTTACTCAGAAGATGCTTTCTTGTTAGTGACTATGAAACATCAAGGGTATTTGAAGTGTATTGACTTTGGCTTTTACCTCTAATTCTTTCCAGGATTTGCAGGTTTTCACAATAGTGTGAGATTGTTTGAAGTATATGCAAATTGCCCTACTTCCTCCTTTCACAGTTAAAATGTTAACTATTTTATTTCCAGCTTTCCTTTTGTAAACAGAAGGCTTTTCTACATCTCTTTCATTTACTTTCCCGTGTGAAACATTTTGTATCTTCACACTTTTTAACTTAAGGCAGATTTCTTTCTTCCAATCCAAGTCATAGGATATAGTATATTGTATGTAAGACACTAGAGTTGACATATCCTGTAGTTAATTTTGGTCAAGAAGCATAATGTAAATTAACCAATCTATTTAGGGAATTTCATAGTAGAGATTAAAAGCAATAACCACTCCCTCATACACACACACACACACACACACACACTCCTTACTAATCTTTGACAATTAAATGGTCATATATAATAAGGTTGACCATATAAGATGACCATTTGTGGATTAAAAACAGTCAAATAATGACAACTTTATATGGTTCCATCTATGTAAATATTTCATTAGTTTATAATTTTTCAACTTTTTCCAAATATTGAACTTCCTGATTATCATACTGAGGCTATCCTTTATCATTGCACAAGAATCGTGTTTATTCGACTTTCCCAAAATGAGAATCTAGTCAGGAGAGTGCCATAAAATGTTTGTCTATCATTGCAGAGACAGTAGAGGGAGCCTGGAGTCAAAACATCATTTTAGGCCTCATATTAATGATAATTGTCTTCCAATTCTTGATGTGTGGATGAATTTAAATACTAGTGTATGGTTGAAATACTAATCTTTAAAAAAAAAGTTAGCTGTATTTAACCAATACTTTAAAAGATGGGCAGGATAAGATTGGTTGCCAGTTCGGGCCAGGTCAGGGTTCATATTGGGACCAACATGAATCCCATTGCTTTCTGCTCTTCTCTGAGTGATGCTGGAGCCTGCACGCTGCCACAATGACATATCTGTGCTCCACAATTTTCCTCTTTCAGTCCATAATTAGAACATCCATTTCTGTGAGGATTATGTCATGATTATTTCATCGGAAACTCAAAATATGTTACCATCTCCATTTGTATGTCTTAATTTAAAGTAATTGTAGTTTAGTGATCACTTCCTCCAGACATGTGAGGAGGCACTTTGATCTTGTCCTCAATAATATCCTTATAGAAAAGTTTCTAATAAATTACCAATCCTTTCACAGAGCAGGAAATTTCATTAACATTAATTAAGATGTTGTCTCTTGCTGACCTCTCCTCAACCATCTTTATCCTCTGTCCAACCTTTTTTCAGATTTTATTTATTTTAGAGACAGAGAAAGGAGGAGAGAGAGAATATATATAGGTGTGAGGGGTGGTGCAAGAAGAGGGAGATGGACAAGCAGACTGCACCAAGCACAGAGCCCCATGTGGGGTTCAGTCCCATGAGCCTGAGATCATGACCTGAGCCGACATCAAGAATCAGATGCCCAAACCATTGAGCCACCCGGGTGCCCCTTCTCTGTCCAATCTTTTGTTAAATCCCTTCACCATGGTGTTATCAAGGAGTCCCCAAGGTAATTGGTGGTGGTACCACTATTCTTCACTGTAGAAAGTCTAGGGAAGGCTCCAAGTCCCTGAGGTGAAGTGAATCCCTAAATATAAAGATAAGATGGAAGAGAACTTCTGTATTGTAAAACCTAACAGTAATCCACAGAACACAGTAGATCAATTTGCTAAGGCAGGGTTTCCTAAACTGGTGTTAAGGGGAAATTTTTCTGCCATGCTAATAACACACAGAATAAAAAGCATTTCCCTGGGAGAAATTGATTTGTTAAACTGTTAAATAGGTTTTTTTGTTTGTTTTTGCTTAACATAGGATGTCTCAGGTTTTAATACGCTAATGTCTTTGTCAGTCTCTCAGAAGGAGATGTTAAATATATAACCTTTCTCAGATTTATTTGACAAGGGAATTTCACTTATTTTCTTAGCATCATTTGGGAACTCGTGGAGGAACACTAGACAGTTCCTCTGTGATATGAAGATAGCTCCAAGTGAGAAAAATCCCTTGGCCCTCCCCAACTTTTTTAAGCAAACTCTATGCCAAACATGAGGCTTGAACTCAAAACCCTGAGATCGAGAGTCACAAGCTCTACTGACTGAGCCAGCCAGGCGCCCCTTATCCCTCTGCAATTTAATCAGGAATCAGCTAACCTAAAAATTGTGATGGAAAAAGCAAACAAATCTGGAATTTTAACAAACTATATTGAAATGAAGAGTGATATTGTAAAAACTAAATACAAATACGATTTTTCATGAAAGCTAGAAAAGCAAACGTTGGAAAAAAATCCAAAGTATAACCTTCCATTGTTTTTTTTTGTTAAATTAAGTTCCCCTATCCCACCCACCCCCAAGTTAATAAACAGGTTTAAGTCAAATCACCTAAAACAAAGGAGTCGAAACCCAAAACACTTGGCACTTAAAAGTATCCTCTTTGTGTCTCTGCTTGGATTCTTTTTACACATCAGTCTTTGCTCAGCATGCTGCTGGCCACAGCGTGCTGCTGAAACTGCTCTGGCAAATGGTGTCAGATTCAATGGGGGTGCTTCCTGGTTCTTGTCTTACTAGAGCTCCCTGCTGCATCTGACATAGTTACATCTCACCCCTTTTTGAAATACTATTATTCTAGCTTTCACACACCTCTTTCTCCCAGTTCTCCTAATTCATGGGCTTCTGTGTGATGATTTCTGCCTGGGTGTAACACCCACAGTCTTGGTGTGCCCC